TAATTTTATATTTATTTGTTAATTTATAATGCATATTTATTAAATTTTTATGGTAGTTAAGCAAAATTGCAAGAGAACGTAATGAATTGCTTCATAGTGCTTTTATGGTATGTATTAAAACTCAATATCAACGTGAACAGCTGATTTTTTTAGATGAGTTGGCTAAAGATGAATAAACAATTACTCGTGGTTATAATTATTCTGAAGTAAATACAAGAGCTGTAAAAAGAGTAGCATTTGTTCGTGGTAAACGTTACACAATTTTACCAGCTCTTACTTTAGATGGTATTATTGCTGTAGACATTATGGAGGTAGTTGTACAAAAAAAAATTTAAAAACTTTGTTATTTCACAAGTGGTATATATATATTTAATAATTGGTAAATTATATAAATTATTATCTTAACAATAATTTAATTATTTTTATTTATATAGCTCTCTCAAATGAATTCATATCTACAAGCAAGAAGTGTTTTGGTTCTCGACAATGCAAGAATTCATCACTACGATGGATTGCTTGAATACTTAAATGCGTTTGGTATACATGTAGAATTTTTTCTGCCATACTTGTCAGATCTTAATCTGATCAAAATGGCTTTTTCATTTATTAAAAGCTATTTAAAACGTTATCATTATTTTGTAGAGAGTTGTTCTGATCCTATTTATCCTTTATTAATTGCTTACTCACAAATTACACCCTTGCTTGCTAATAGTTTTTTTAATGGATCAGGTTACAAATAAAAAATTAAATTATATTAGAGATATATTATTTCTACATAATATATTATATTATTAAATATTATATTTGGCTGCATAGTAACGAAGTATTTGTCGTGCTCCAATAGTGTTTACACCACATTTTTCAAATTCTTCATTTGATAATTTTGAAAGTATTCATACTGAAATTCGCTGTTGCTCAAATTTTAATAGAAAACTTTGATAATAATCATCAGTATTTTTATTTTCATCAATTAATTTTAAGAATTCACCAATAGTAGGTATAGATAATTTTGCGATATATGGTGTTGGCTCTAAATCTAAATAGGAAGAAGCGAAAGTTAAAACCATCTACAACAGATTATAAAATGGTGTTGAAATATATGAATTTGAAAATAGGCAAGAACTTGAAGATTGAGATAATAATCTATCCGAATTAGAAAGTTGTAAACTTGGTCTTTTTTTAGACAAATGATTATATATGAATAATGGATGTGTTGGTGGTTCTGTGAGTGTAGCCAACCCTTTGTTCTATAATAAAATAAAAATAAATCAAATTATATAAATTTTACTTAAAAACATATAATAAAAAATATACCTACTATTTCTGACGCCCAAGTAGATAACATCATAAAAGTAATTTTAATATGGTACTCCTTATTTTTATCCACATTTAAGTATACCTGGTTATATATATTACAATGATTGGCAGTACAAATTTTTAAAACACTCTCAGCTATTTGAGTTTCTTCTACAGTAAGATTGGATACTTTGGGAACTTAATTTTTGTTTTTTGGAGTTTCTAAACAATCATCCTCTAACATATTAGTTTTTATTTCAGAATCGGTATCCTAAAATAAAATCTTATTAGTTTTTATTTAAAGTAGATATAAATTCACCAGGGCGATCATCAAGGGTGTGGATCATATGATAAGATTTATATACGATTATTAATAAGTTAATTAGTAATTATGAATTATTATAAGACCCACACTTTAGGTAGTCATTTGAGTTAATCCATAAAATTTTAAATTAATATACCTTTTTTTTGTGCTTATTTTTATTTGAATCTTGTGAATTAAACGTTATAAATATCCCTATATTAACCTTTCGTGCAGAAAGTTTACAATATTCAGACCAAAATTTTTGAAAATCTTGATCATCTACCAACTGAGTTCCAGCCTCTGCAGCCTTTTCGCCTTTAAATGTTACATTATAATTACATGCTTCAATTAATTCATTCTTTGTTAATGTGATTACATTGTTATGAATTTCTGCAAGAAATTTATCTACTTCAGATATAGTGATTTTATACCATTTAGTTGGTAAAAATTTTCTATCTAATTTTATAAAAATACCATAATGAAATTCATATTCAAAGTCTTTTTCAGAATTATCTACTCCTTTCGTATAGTATGTGTCCTCTTCACTATCATCATTAGATTCAGAAAAATCTAACGAATTTTGAACACTTTCATTTTCTGAAGTAAGATCACATATTTCTAGATCTAATTTGATTTTTTTAGATATGCGTGATTTAGAAGCATCAATTTTATTCTTTACTGAATTAGAGTTGCTAAATAATTTTTTTTTAGCTGACTTCAATTTTGATAGCTCATTATTGCATTGTGAACAAAGTGAAAAGTTAAAAGAATCTTTTAGAGTTGTTGAATAATTATATTGCAATATTTTTCTTGAATGAAAGAAACTTGATCTGCTATCCAATTTGGTATAAAAATTTATGTATACGCATATTTGACATCTTTGGTTCGATTGCCTCTATGGGGGGGTTTTGTAATATCACATTTGCATTTTTGTGTTTGCAAATCAACTCCACAATATAAACACTTTCGACAACTAAAGCA